GAATATAATGTGCTGTAACTGTCTTCATGTTTTTCCACGATGTTCAGCACTTTGCATGGAGGCTAACTGCTTACCAATGACCATTTTAACAAGATAAACCTGTCTTTGCGTGAGTTTCAGTAGGTACTCAGGTGTCAGGGACATAGGGGTGAGGCTTAGAGGTGAGTGGAGTCACACGAGATGGAGAGGACAGATAGAGACCAGGATTAGGACTGTTTCCCATACTGGCGTGTTGTTGTTGCTGTTGAGACGTACCGGTTTTAGTGCGGGCATCACGGGTATGACCTGCAGAGAGGTGGCCGACACGTCCCTTTCGGACTTGGCGGGTTTGGCACAGTACTGCTCCAGCAGGTTGAGGTCACAGCTACGGAAACAACACTCCTCTACGATCCCACGGTTCTGGTTGCGCCGGTTGCTACCCCTGCTGGTTGGCCTACCTGAGGAGGAACACAACAGGGGATGAAGAAAGACCACGAGGAAGGTTGAGGGTTAAGGCCTGAGAACACAACACACTGGCATCAGTCATGAATCGAGGTTGTTTTCGCAGGATTACTTCGACAATCATAGCAGTGCACGGAACAAAGAGGATAAAAGGAAATCTATGACCAACTGCAACAAATCTTTTTGTTTGTAGAGGATAATCTGATTAAGGCTATCTGGAAGTCCTTTAATGAGTGAATACACAAGTAAACACCCCGTGCTGTAGACACCCAAAAGAGAGTGGCGGGATTCAGACAGCTGAGCTCTCAGATAGACCTTTGGGTGAGCAAATACATAAAATGGAAACTCTTCAGTGACCTTGTCCTTTGTCAAGTCAGCAGAGATAAAGAGGATGAGGAGGGAGCGAGGAGAGGAGGGGCAGAGAGGTAGAGAAAACAGGAGAAGAGGGATCAGTGCAGAGAGAGGGTGTGTGAGGGTCAAAACAGAGGGGAAGAATGCAAACAAAAGAGGAAGAGAGCAGAGACATGGGAGAAAAAGGTATAGCCGAACAAGGTGAGGGGGTGGAGGGTTAGCATGTTGCACAGGGGAACACTATCCACAACCAATAAAGGCCTTGTTTGAAGCCCTGCGCCCAAATCTCATGAGAGGGGAAGGCTAGATTTGATTGCAGGAAGAGGAACATGAGAGAGAAAGACAGGGTGATCCAGGGGGAGGAGAAGGAGCAGTGGAGGAGGAGGGAGCTCATCTATGTTGGCCTAAATTGGATAATGATCTTTCTGATTGGTGAGAAGCATCAGTGGCAGGCAGAATACAAAGACACTGCCTGTCTGTCAAAGGTGAAAAGCAGAGGGGCGGGATGGTATCTTTATCTTTTCCCCCTGCCACTGAGGAAGGTGAACTCTTGCATGTCACAAACACCACAGACAGTGCAAACAGAAGCTTATCCAATCGAGGATTAACAACAAATCACAACGCATTCACGTAATGCTTTACAGCTATTCCCATCACCGCCACAATGGAGGCGATAATCAGAATTGATGTTAATGATCCGTCCTCTTAACCTGACATCAAAAACAGCGCCCCTCCCCTCCCCTCCCCTCCCTCCTCCTCCTCCTCCCCAACCCCTCCTCCTCCGACTCATCAGTGTGGTCGCCTGGCCTGGGAACACTGGTGCTGAGGTGACTGGTATGCCTCTTGGGGTGCTATTACTTTACTGGTAAACAAGCGGCCCATTGTGTCGTGCTGTGTCGTGTGTGCCTTCACAGCTCGCTGGCCTTTCATATGCAATGAGAGGTATGGGCTGTAAGCAGAATGCGCACACTCAGCAGAGCAGCCTGGACGAGGTCTTGGGACACACAGCTGGCTGTAATCTCCCTCACTCCCTCTCTTTCTCTCTCTCTCTCTCACACACACACACTTTCTCTCAGCCAGAGTGTGTGCGCGCGTGTGCGTGCGAAAGAAAATACCAAACACGCATACCACACAGCCACAGACAGAGCGATATAGTCTCAGCTATCCAAACAGATGTGCGCAAACGAACAACAGAGAGACATATTTTTTTTTAAATCGTGCAGCTCGTTGTGCAAAAACTTGTGCAGGGTTGGAAACCTACTGAAATAGAAGCCTCTGTCTTCACAGACGAACTGCAGCGCATCCACCAGCTCTCCCCCACACAGCGTCTCTGCCGACGCTATTTCCACAACGTAGAGCGTTAGGGCCAGTGCAAACAGCAGCGCGCGACTGGACGAGGACATCTTCTTGACCTGCAGACACACACACACACACACACAAAACACACACACATTGTAGAGTAAAGCACCGGATAAACAAATGCAACCACACAAATTTAGAAGTGATAACATTTGAAAATAAATCTCAGATGACAGCCAGATGTTGCCTTTCAGTGTGATATAAGAGGATCCACTCTTTACGCGTACATTTGCATGCTCGGACAACATGTACGACTCCCAGAGTTAAATGCATTAAATGTGTATTGACCTACTAAAGGAGAAAAAAGGCCTACTGCGTGAGACAAATGATGCCAAATGTGCACTTTCTCCCCCTCCGACTGTTATCAGCCGCTGTCACCGTGTTGCACCTGAGAGAAGTGCTTATTCTGGAGGAAAAAAAGTAGACGGTATCTCCGGCGCACACACTCTTACACAACTCCCCAGAAGTTGCAAGACCGGCTGCTCGATAGTTAACTATCTGAAAAGCCATACTCAGCATATATTTTCCCCTTGCTCACCCTGTGGTGAGCTCACTGACCCTCAGACCTACCGCCCCCTATCTGCCGACAAAAAGACCAGCTGTTTGCTCCGAGTCCAGCGAACGGCACCACCATCCAGACGGGGAGAAGAATTAAAAAAAAAATACCTCTCAACTCTTTCTCTTCTTCTATCCTATTAGGTAACCTGTTGCACAAATGCCTCAAAGCTTCAGACGCACTCCATGTCATTTGTGCATCTTGAACTTTCTCTGTTGCATGCAAATTAAAAGAGATGTCCGGTTGCAAATATTGCACAAAAAAAACCGATGCGATGAATGCATCTGCTCAGCCCGAAGCGGTTGTCTCACTTTAAAAAAAGAAGCCAAGAAAACATGGTTAAACCTCCGCCAGAGGACTTTCAATACCCGCGCAGCACAACCGGAGAGCATAAAACTATTTGTTCCCTCTGGTTACCTTCATTCTGCTGCTCTCCGTTCTCCGGCAGGTGTGGCAAAGTGAGTGGTGTCCGTATCTTTGCGGGGTCTCCATGTCAGTTGGCAGTAGTCAAAAACGTCGGAGGGGGAGGGGGTTATTTGGTTGGAGAGATTGCAGGTGAGTTAGTTTCCCAGTTGGTGCGGCTATAGAGATGATGTGTGAGAGGCTGCTGTCCCAAAGACCAGGCGACAGGCAAAACTTCTCAGTTCTTCTCAATATATACCAAAACACGCCCCTTACACCCACACCCCACCCCCTCGCTCCTCCTCTTCACGGCTGGTTAAAAAAAAAAAAAAAAAAAAAAAAAAAATTATCCAGAGACGTTTTATGGAAAAGTGCTTAAAGGGAGCAAAACCAAAAAAGAGAAAGAGAGGGAGAGAGTGAGAGTCACAAAATATGGAACAATTCCATAGGCATTTTCCACGTTTACGCACTGTAACCTACAATCACAATGTTTACACACGGGACGCAGACTGAACAAGAATAGACGTAATTCCTCAGACTCCAAGAAAAATGTCAATGTCTCCGCCCTGCTGTAATTAAGATTAACTATTCAGAGTGGGAGCAGTGTGGCCAGGGACTGCGGCTTTCCTCTGACTCAGGTGTGGATGAAGTCACCGGGGTCAAAAGTGACGGAGTGGATGCTGGTTACTTTAAGGTTATCCCACCTAAAGGAGGGAGGATGATGCAGCAACAGCAGCAGTGACAGTGACAGATGCAGAGGTGTCAGAGCCTTTGGTCTCTGTCAAAGCTGCATCATATGATGAAGACACATTTGGTTGCTTATAAACAAAAAAATAATAATAATATTCTCTATTATAACTAATCAATGCACCACTCACAGTGTTTAAAGTCAGAAAAACAGACAGGTAAGTCAAGAAAAAAAAACCTCATCCAGGTGTTGCACATGCATCTTCACAACAGACACAAGTGCATGTGATTATACATAAAAATAAGATGTTTCTTAATCTTTATAAAACTGAATGAGGGTTCCCTTATATAAGTGTGGCTTCTGCAGGAGGTAAGGACCCAGACATGTCTCCAGACTCAGACTGACACCTAGTGGTCCGGATAGTGAACCTCCGCTTGTTTGTCTCCCAGCTTGCAGCAGGTTGGGGGGCATCAGTGTGCGTTGCTGGACAGAGCTCTGCCCGGTCAAACTCCCCACACTTTGTCCTTTCAAAATAAATTCAACATTAAAACTTTCATTATGTCAATAATCTTAAACAATACTTTTATCTGTTGTCCCCAAATAACACAAATAAATTAGATCCCCTTTGGTGCAGGTGAGCTTGCACCATTAGTTTATGTATCTGTATTATTAATTTAAGTGTTGGTCATGCAACATTAATTTAAATGCTAACAAACAGGCTACCACACTTGATTTAATTATCTATATTTCTGTTGCTTTCCCATACACTTCTCCAGAGTTTCTTTTCATTGAAATGTTTATTAGCTTGTTTTTAACATAAAATAAAGTTTCAAAATAGCCCATTGTGGTTTCAGGCAGGAGGAGAGCATTAAGGAGATTTATTCCTCCAACAGGCTCAATAAGAATGTGCTGTGATTTTAAGATCAGGCAGGTACACCCTGCTGGACTGCCCCCTCTTGTGGTAGACAAATGTTAGCTATTATGTAGCATGAAATGGGGTGTGTAATGTTTTTGTGTGGTCAGACATGAGATGAACAGATTATCATGAAATATATGTACATGATTTATATATTTCTCAGGAGTTGCAGGACTTAAACATGTATGAAATGTGTAAACATGACAGCAAAATGTTAGTTTGCAATTCTTTATTGTTTGATAGATTCTTTTTTTCTAATAGTATTCAACAATACATTACATGGAAAGTGTGTTTTAATGTTTCTTTTATTACGCTTACACACTGCGGGACAAAAACAGCATAAAACTAGATAAATCATCAGAGCTGATACTCAAATACAGAATTCACATATTTGGAAAATAAAGCTTTTAACACAGCAAAGATATTTGTTTTATTTAAATAAAATAAATGTGATTTAAATATACACTTTCATCTTTTTTACTTTTATGTTTATTTGATTTTAAAATAATTATACCATATCCATTTAGTTCTTTTTTTATACATTCATTATCACAGTTCCCTCTTGATTTTGGTTCAGATTTTGACATATATCATCTCAAACAACACATTTTTATGCTTAAAAAGCATGAATGGTGCAGTCTGTGAAAACCCCATCGTTTCTTAAATGGATCCATACCCAGCAAGGCGTTAAAGCATCTTTGGAAACTTTGCCTGTGCTGCGTATTGAGGTTTTAAAGGTTGCAACCTAACTGGCCAACCAGCCAGCGACAGCAAGCGACAACTCATCATGAAACGGCATCATAGTGGAGGTACAGCACAGAAATAGGAACACATTTGTCTGGATCACACGTGGGACGTCTCAGAGCGTAGCGGAGAGGGAGCAGATAGGGGTGAATGCAGGCTGGTGCGTCATCATGACAAGACACTGAGGGCATCTGTCAGCACCTTGAGCTCGTCCTTCACACCCTCCAGGCCTCCTTGGATCTTCAGCGGGTTGTCCAGCACCTCAATACTGCTGGTGTACGGGTCAAACCTCACAGAGAAGGGACGCTTGATGCCGCCAACGTACTCCCTTGTTAAAGATATAAAACAAAAAAGTAAGATTTAAGAAGTCAAAGGTGAGGTAGACCCAAACATTTCACTATATTGGTTGAAACGTCCCTTTAAATGACCAGAAAAAGCCCCCCAAATGTGGTTTGTTCTGTTCTTTATGCATTTATACACCTAATAGAGGCAGGGACATTCCGCATGTATCAGCAGCAAATCAGAAACACTCTAAAGATGTTTATAATGAACTCTGTTTCATATTTACTATGCTTTCACAAACATTCCCATGCTGATATTTACCTCATCCAGTGTGGCAGGGATGTCATGTGCTGTATTCTACCAAAGACCAAATGCTGTCAAAACATTCACTAAAGCTACTTGTTTTGCAGGGCAACATTTGATCTGTTTGCCAAATAAAACTGCAGCGTTTTGCCTTGGTAAGAAAAGCCACATTAGTAACAGCTGTCTTCTGGCTGCTATGGCTGACCTACAAAAGTTTGTGGCCTCAGGGGTTGGCTGGCTGTTCTCTGACCTTGTCCTTACATAACCCCTCTCTCTTTCTCTTTTTGTTTTTTCTTTCTTCTCTCTGTCTCTGTTTGTTCTTGTGTATTTGCATGTGGGTCCAAACAAAAAATCACCTGAATTTCTCCTTGGCATCTGAAAAACTCTCAGAAACAAAGTAGACAGGTTGGTACGTCTGGTCCTGATAGGGCTGCACGGCTGCGGACTCGGGGTCAAACTCCCTGGTCTCTGGTTCATCAGACAGTGAGTGCTGGATTTAAGTTGAAAGAAAAAGGTGGAGGGTTAGGTGACAGCTCAGTTGGCTGTGATGGTGCATTTTTTTATTTAACTTCAAGCAGAGAGCAGAGGGAACATGCTGGGACGCACCACAAGCTCTCCGTATGAGGAGAGCAGTCCGGCACCGTAAGCCTTCACCTCACCATTCTGTTTACATAAGCCATACTCGACGGTGAACCAGTACAGCTGATGGGGAAAACATCAAGAGAGTGACTGTGAAAAATAAGGACACTGGGCTGGACAATTAAATCATGATTTGTATGAGGGTGTGAGAACCAGAGGGCCGTTAATTGCATCTGACCAACTTTACAGGACAGCCCAAACCAAAAATGACCGTACTTTGCCCCGCCTTTGTTTACTGAATTAAATCTTTAATACTAAAACTAAAAGACTAAAACACATGGATGACAATATACTCAATGATCAATTTTGACATTTATTAAAAAATATATATTTTTCAGTGACTAAGTGCCCTTGCACCTCTCTCTGAATTGATCATAAATCCACCATGTTGGCAACAGAAAGAGTTCATCAAGAACTTCCATTTGATATATATAACTCATTTTCACCCAAAATGTCACTTACGCTCTTCTGGTTCTCACCCCTTGATGACACATTTTAAGTAATGGACTGTACAGAAATGATCAGGGAGGGAGGGCGTGTCAGAAAAGCGGGAGAGATTGTGCAGGGAGAGCAGGGAGGGAGTGTATTTAGTTTTTAACTTGCCCCAGTTTATATTTTATGAGATTTCTCATGACATTTTCGGAAAAACTAAAAACTGCACGGTTCAATCAAAATATTAAGTCCAAAAAATGCCTTCTGTGTGTGCCGTGGGCCAGTGGTTCTCAAATGATGTGCCGTGGATGCAAACCCAGGTGTGCTGTGGGATTTTGTGATAACCACACATGCCTATACAAACATTTATGAATGAATTCTTAATTGACTGTATCAGTATGTTGTACACACCCATTTCATGATAAAGAAGCAAACTCTACCTAAAAAATATTTAATTTAACTTAATTTTAAAAAACCTTCACGGGGAACCTATTTGTCGCTGTTTGCAAGTGGGAATTATAAGTGTGTGACACATCACATTATCTTCAATAACTTACACTATTTCCCAATTAAAGTGATGTATTATTGGTGCTTTCTTGTTGAATTTTAAAAAAGTTTAAAATGAATTTTTGAATTATTTTGAAAATTGATATTTCATGATTAGTAATTGTTATTTGATATTAGTAAATAAAAATAAACATTTATGTCATGGTAAGAATGATAACACACCTTATAAAGGCTTTTCAAAAAGTTTGAAAACCATTGCCATGGACTATAAAACTGTGTTTTGCCAAATGGAGAGGACAGTTGTGTCTCTATATCAGCAATTTATTTTACAATTTCTCTAATCCACTAGTAGTTGGCAGGAAGCAGCAGGAACCGTCAGAGAACAGAAAGTCCCACTGGTTATGTTCTTCATAATTTTGACTATCGCTGTTCTGTTTCCACTTCCATATTTATCATATTATGCTTGAAATCTGGGCTGAGTTGAGTCATTAGTTATGTATTGTTCTAATTTATTTCTGTATCAAGGGAAAGGTCTTGATTTTTGAAAAGTCAAACATAAGGTTCAGGCCCTCTCTCCACCTCAATCATTTTAGTACAGTCCCTAAATACTGTTGGTGTAGGAGTAGAGTCTTACTGAGGATAGTTTCTCAATATCTTCCTCCGAAGCCCCGAGTGATGCCAGACCCAGGTTCTGCAGCAAATAATCAATAAACAGTTACCAAGACACAATAACACAGCATGGGACATGCATAGGCTATAACCCCTCCTCCCTCTTACCTGTGAAAATTGGGCAAAGGTGCGATCAGCCAGCATGGGGACGTGGCCCAGCAGCTCATGGACACAGTCACTGAGGAGAGAGAGGGTAAGACAGATTCGACTGGGAACCATGTTTGATCCAAATTTGAAAAACCCTACACAGATAAATTTAACTAAATACAGACTTTGAGTTCCCAAACTGGCAATTCATTCTGGTCGCATTACAAAACAGTGGTTTCAGAGTGAAAAACAATTCTGTGCCCAGTGTGACACAAGGGAAGTGAAGACAAGACGTTTGTTACAGACTGAAAAACAAACTTTAATTTGTCCCATACATCCAGCATTTGCTTTTATTCCTCAATAAGTGACCTTATATAAATTGAAAACATTTTTTTCTAGTTTAATTCATATTTATTTTTCTCACTTTTACACATTGAAACAGAGGGTTTTTCTCTTTCATTTTTTATTTTGTAGTGTTAACTTGATGTACATGTCTTATTACTAACTCAATTTATTCTGTGTTTTGGATTTTTGCTTCCCCCCCCCAGTGGATTCATTGCACACTGTAAAAAATAATCCACTGGTTCAACCTTAAAAAATATATTTTTTTTGGATAGTCTCAACTCTGGCATTATTGTGAAAATCCCATGAGTCTTTTATTATTTGATAAACGCAATTAATGTGGTACAACCAACATGATTTGCTTTGATGTCAAAAAACTTAATTTAGTTGAACCAACTAAATATTTATGTAAAAGTTGTGTTGGTATTTAGTGGGTTTTTTTTTTATAATTCTATTCTCCTGGAAAATGTCAAAATGTTTCTGATTTTGACCACCGTCTTAAAATAAGTTGTCACCTGACTAAAACACTTATGCTGGAAAATGTTGTTACCTCCGCCAAGGAGGTTATGTTTTCGCTGGCGTTGGTCTTTTTTTTTCTGTTTATTTGTTTGTTTGTCTGCAAAATAACTCAAAAAGTTCTGAACGGATTTTGCTGAAATTTTCATCAAGGTTGATAATGGCACAAGGAACAGGTGATAAAATTTTGGTGGTGATCGGTTGAAGCGAAGTGGATAAAATAACAAAATGGCGGGAAATCCCAGCTGCTTGGTGGAGGTCTGTGCTCTCCGAGTGCTTTTTTAGTTATTTTAGGTATCATCTTTTAACCTCAATAATCATTTTTTATTTGTTTGCTTTCTTTCCTTTTTTTTCTATCAAAATGACATTGCAGTATAGTTTCATTAAGCTGAATTACACGTAAGAGTCAGAGTGAAGGAACAAACACCAGTGACTGAAGGATGGGAGGCTTATGGAGATTTAGTCACCATTATTGCTGAGACATTGATATCACATACATTTTGATGGCAGTAGTCCGAAATATGTGAAGGGATTTAACATTGTGAGCAAAGCGAGAGGAGTCACAGTCGTACTCACGGCTCTGGGGAGTGCATAGGGGAGGAGGCGTGTCGGATGTACTGGGTGCACTGGAACACCCGGAATGCCAAACTGGCCAGGAAATCTCTGGCTGAGAGCAGACCTGCCACTGGACGCAGCAGGAACCCTGTACGCTCTGTGTGCGTATGTGTGTGTGTGCGTGCGTGTGGGTTCAAGAGGTGGGAGATAAAGAGACACAAGGAGAGAATCAAACCCTCGGTTGATGGAGAGTGTGTTCACCAAACATTTGTTCATTGTCTCTTATCCCGTCATTACCTTTGAGGAAGTGTGACACGTCTTCCAGCTGGGGAATGTTGTCTGGACTGTACCCACAATGCCTTTCCAGCAGATGGAAGGCCTCGAGGTATTCACTGCAGGCATGGGTGCTGTACAAGTCCCTCAGAGTTGAGTAGACTTCTCTCCTAATTACAGATTACAATAATTACAATACAGTAGCAATTACATAATAATTGAGATTTTCAAACAAAAGCATAAAACAGTATAAAGACCCTGTCAAAGGTCATCTTAAACATAAACTTGGGACTGTTCATTTATACCTTGTTCTGCACTGTGATTTTTATTCTCTTGTTTTGTTTAAATGCAGCTTATCTATATTTTCTATAAATGTCTTTTGACTCTTTTGTAAAGCACTGAGTCATAAATCTTTGGAGATTACTTTTCTTTTGGCCAAAACTGTCCAAGCAAAATTAATGATACAAGTGAAAACCCATCAACTTGTAAACTATTCCTGTCAAATCATTTGTTTCCCCTTCTCTGATAAATTTTATGCTCAGACGAGCTCAAGCCGGCACATCTAGAACTGCCTCCATCTGTAACTAATTCACGCAAAATACCCATCAGAGACAAATCGTGTCCGACTGTCTCAGAAAGGAGATGAAGCTGCCTCAGTGGGTGGTGAACGGACACAACGATGCTTTGATATTCAAACAGCAGGAAGGTCAAACTGCTCGTTTGAAAAACAAGCGATGATTTGTATTCAGTGTAAACTTTGATTTCATGCTTGGTGGTGTAGATTTTCACATTAAGTGCATTTTAAACGAGCGTGCCCTTACCACGTGCCAATCTCCTCCTCGGTGTACTCCACTCTGGGAATCGACTGCCCACTGAGGACAAACAGAGATGCATCAGGAATAATCAAGTATCATTTTTTTGTCTCTTTTTGTTATGGATGTCTGTGAAGCATTTAGGACAAGAACTGTATCTCACTGTCTGTATCTGAAGGCGATGTCTCCAATCATCTTCCTCCTCTGTCTGTAAACAGGGTCTGTGTAGCCCTGTTCAAATCAAATATATCAAACTCTGATCACATTTTCTGTGTACTGACATATTGGTCCAACAACATAACCGGCCTAACAATAAGAATTCTCATCATACTGGAAAAGTGGTTACTCACAGGATGGTCCTGGTCCAAGTCTGGATCAAATTTTGTGACCAGATGATGACATCTGTCTAAATCTGCTATTTTCTTTGGGAACCAATGAACTAGAAGAGAGAAAACAGATGGCCACATTAAGTTCACTACTGTTTTTTTTACTACCTCTCAAATTTTGTCTTATAAAAGCAGAAAAAAGGGGGTGTTACATTTGACTTCTTTGGTGGTTTTAACATCCTCTGCGTTCCTCTTGAGGGAGCTGATAAGAGTACCGACGTCTGAGAGATGCACCTCACAGCGAACAAAGTACTCCAGGCCTTCCAGGTTGTCCTTGAGCTTCCGGCATGGTCGGGTCTCCAAATGATGAATCTTAGCTTCAAATGTCTGAAATACAGTCAACACAGTGAAATGTGACTCCCGCAGCTGTGCTGGATTACATTCAAAGTATGACAAAGGTGGGATGCAGTTTTGGCCATAGTATCTGAGACAAGCACACCCATATAAAATGTGGAACAGTCTCTAAAATGAAATGTGTCTGGAGGTCTTTCTAACATGGGTTTTAGCTGAATGACAAGGACAAATGTGCATAATCTTGTATAATATCAGGCTAAACATTGAAAGATTGTTTTAACTCTACATTAACAGTAGTACTTAAATAGCTATGAAATGGAGAGGAGTTGAAAATGACATCAGTTTGGCTATGCTTCCTCGTCACCACCCCCCAGTAGAGGTTTTTTTTAATTTTAAAAAGACCATACTGCCATCCAAGCTAAATCTGACTGAGCCTTAGAGATCATTATGTCCAACAGATGATCAGATATCAGTGTTCAGTAAATACGATGCACTTGCCTATAGTATATCTCTCAGTAAATGACACAGCATATAGGATATAATATGCCTTAAAGCATGTTTATCCTCCGAAACCTGTTTAGGTAACGCATTCTAGTAAGGAATCCTTTGAAAAAGAAGAGACTAAGAGACTAATTATCTAATGGAAAAAAGGCTGCAGGCAATTTGTGCCATAATCCACTTAACTTATTATCATTTATTACTACAGAATTGGTGGCTTTCAGAGAGCGAGAAAGTCATGAGCATATTAATATATAAATATACGTTTATGACTGCATTCTTTATAAGTGGACAGAAAATACAAAAACAGGTTTTTATAAATGATCTCATTCTTTACAACTTTTCATTTTTCAACTGGACATTTTCTCTCCAATTTTTGCATCTCAAATACACTTTTTTTGTAACATACCTCAAACACTTTGAGTGTCCGCGACAGTGCAGGCGACTTGGAGCTTCTTAAAGTGAAGAAGAGGTTGAGCAGCGCTTTCCCATTGTCCTCCTCAAACACTATCTGCTCACTGGCCTCTGCAGCCTCTGCCGCTGCAGCGGCGGCTTCCCTCTCCTTGCGCGCGTCCTCGATCAAGCTTTGCCGCCTGCCGAGGAATCTTGGAGACTGTTTCAAAAGAGAAACCAAAGTGTGTGCTGCACATGTTTCTGATTTAACTATCAGAGCAGACACATCATCACAGCGGGGAAACTGTTGCTTTCTCACCTGTTGGATATCTCTTTGGGTATTTGATGGGAGCGTCTTACATCTCCAAATGCGCATTAGAACAGCAATGCAGTCAAGGTAAACCTGTGACACAGCTAAATCTGTGTAGCTGTCACAGCACACATTTTAGCTGTTGTTAGCTGTTAATTGCCATATGTTTTTCGCTATGTAAATATAGTGCGCATCAGGCACCGCCGCTGCGTAATGGCTACCTCGCCACCGCTCTGCGCGCAATCCAACAGATTTTTATGACCTTTTGGTTAGAATTCCGACATATCACTAGTAACACAGTTACAAATTGCTGATTATAACGAAATCTTTTTTTTTTTAATGGCTGGTTTGAACGTGTCTGTATGCCTTACCGTGATGGAGTCGGACCTCTCCAACTCGGATGCTGCTCTGCGGATGCTCTTTGTGGAGGACGTGGAGCTGCTTGAAAGGGGCATCTTCAGGCGTATAAGTCTTCTGTGTTGTCTTTGTATGCGTGTTGAAGTGTGACTGAAGTGACAGAGACCTCTCAAGCTGTGTTGTGCGCCGGGAGCTTTTCCTTTTTTTCCTCCCACACAGGTTCCGTCTTTTTATGGGGTAATTTGTTTGCAGTTTCTGACGTCAAACACGCTAATCCCGCTGTAATCAATCAATGCGCAGAGGGCACATCCCAACTTGGAGCCTATATACAGTAAATATGACCATTTGTGAAGCCTGCCCACGCGTACACACACACACACACACACACACACATAGAATTTAAGTTGAAACAGGGAAGATTCTTCTCATGTTTCACACATTTTCAGTGATCTTCAAAAATGCAATTTGCAACATTTTGAATTAATACATTTAGGAACATTTCAATACTAGTCATGATTTATATAAACATGCACAAGTTCTTGATATTGTTTAGTGTCTTTCCAGCACAATAAATATATGGAATTATATTTTTAAAAGTTTCTGTCTTAATCCAAATTTAGGCCTATTTGATTAACATGTGCACCAATAAGGTGAAGTTGTGTGGTTTAAAGCACCAACTGAATACACTCATCATCTTTAAAGAATAATCAAAGCTTTTACCTCAGGGTTTTACATAAAGGTTAGACCAGAGAAAAGTCAACTGTGGAAAATTAAGTCACTTTATCAGCTCAATCCAATCTGCACAGCTCTGCACAAATTAGATTTGACTGTGGGAACACACACACACACACATACAACAAGGAAAGAGAGAACAACACGTTGTTTTCCTGTTTAGGCCACTCTGTCTGTTTCTCTACCTCAGCAACAACCACATCAAGTGAATTTGTAGCGCTTTTGGCTGAGGACTATGGTGGTTAACACGATTGTGAAGTGATGTACGGTGCCCACGAGCGAGCAGAGATAAAAGGATTATCTGTGGATCTCTGGCCACATGCTGCCACAGCAGCAACCTTGCATGGGTGCAGAGAAGGCAAATGGGCCCCAGTGTGACTCTTCCCCCAGCCTGAACACACAGGCTGGAAATGCTAAAGAGCACTGATGTAGCCCCGGGCACAGACAACGGCGGTTCCGTCCTTTATTAGGGGCCGACAGAGTGAGTATGAAGAGAGGAAGATAAAGCAAACAGACAATGAGATAGAAACCACCTTTCCACCTTGTTTAAGCCTGTTTTCTGCATGGAAACAGAGTAAATTGGTGTATCTTTAGAAATAAAGCTATGTTGTGTGTTTTTTCTCTTTATCTTGACCTTTTATGAAAGTGGTGTGACATAAAAGACTGAACAACAGGCAGAAACCTGACATTTATTCAGAGACAGAAACAATTATCAGTTTTATAGTTGCCTCAGTCCATGTCTCTCAAGCAATTATTATATATTATATTATTTCAAAGCACTCAGAAATCTTACAAACAACTCCTCTGGTTGATGTAAAGGATAAGAAAATGAGACTCAGATGACTTGTTGCTTAATAAGACACAAATAACTGAGATGTCAAAACAGCCAGAAACACAGACTATACAAAATGACATAAATTTGTTACAAAATTGAGTATCTGTACTAAGTGAGTCCAAGAAAAAAAAGAATACACATAAAAAACAATTGTATTCCAAACCACAAGAGACTTACTGATTGTGCTGCAGCACAGGTTTATTCAACTTCAACCAGATTTTGTGTGTCTGAGGAAGGACAGCAGAGCTACAGGCTGAATCACGATCAAGATAAACTGACTCTTCCTCCTCCCTCCAAATGTCTGCTTTCCTGTGTCAGCTCAGTTTATCAAAACCATATAGCCTGTTACTGGTTAGTGGAAATCACCCGGAGAGAAAGCTTCCCAGATCTTCCCTGACACTTTTTATGCGAAAAAAGGCTGAGATATACAATACGTAGAATTTCAAACCCTTATGATAAAAGGCAGAGGTGTAGTCTGGTGCTGTGCAAGTTAATAAAACATGCCGAATGATTATTAAAAGGAAAGCTTTCTAAAGTTTATGAGACACCTGTCAAGCTGCAGATCACCGTTTGAAACCAACAAAAAACAAAACTGGTTGTTTTTTTTAGCCAGTCATTGCTGTGTTTCCAGTGGCTTTTTAGGCTCCAAACATGGATATATTGTTGCAACCTGGCAACGGGGCTAGTGCCACATTTGTTTTTTACCAAGACAGTGCTGTGTTTCCTGCCGGGATTGTGACCCCAAAACTGAGATTTTAAACCAAAACACAATCACCACAGCGTTAATGAAGCATAAAGTTTTAACATATCCACTGCACAATAACATAAATCTAAGAGTCAGTGGTTAGCAGAAACATATGGTGGCAACAATAGGCCCGTTTCCACCGCAGGAACTTCGGGGTAATTTTATGGGGCCGGGGCCGTTGGTGTGTGTCTCCACCGCAGGAACCACCCCCGAAGGACAGAGTTCCGGAACTTTTACGGGGGCTAAACAAGTCCCTGCCTCGGAGTAGGTACTCAGAACGCCCCGAAAGACTCCCGGCTGGGGCTTGGGGATTTACTTGGTGCTGATTGGATATACTCAAGGAGGGATGTGACGACAACAGAAAGCAACAAAATAGCCAGCATTTTTAAAACTCAGCAGACGAGGGTTAGCTCGTTCATATAGCTTCCGCCGCCATGTAAAAAAACTCACTAAATGTCCCGTGAAAAAAATATTTTTTCCAGCGGATATCTTAGTTACAACATGATTGAGCTAGCAAAGCAGTTTTGTGTTGATATGTGTTGTATGTATTCAGTTTTGGGAAATCACGATGTCTAGAAAGCATCAGTGGCTGCCGCTGACAGGGACAGCTAACAGCAGCATCAAAGCTAACATCAGGACGTGATCTGTTAAAAGCCTCCCGTTGTCGGATACGACATGAAACTACTCCAGTTAGCTCAGTCATGTTGTAACTAAGACATCTGCTGGAAAAAAATATTTTTTTCACGGGCCATTTAGTGAATTATTACTGACACCGCTAAGGGCTAACAGCTAACAGCGTCCCTACGTCATCCCGGTAAATGGTTGTGCAACGATTACATCACATCCAGAGCCCGTAACTTTACAGGAACCTTCCTCCTACTCCGCTCTCTCAGTGGAGACACGGTGGTTGAGAGGGCCGAGCGAGAGGACGTTCCTGTAGTAGTTCCTGCCCCCAAATAGTACCAGGAACTTCTTCAGTGGAAACGGGCCTCTTGGTTTCTGGTGATTGGGTTGATGTTTTTTGACTGTTAGGATGGTCACTGTGTCAGATTAGGCGATAATAGCATCATATATTGTTGTTGTGACGCTGCAGAGAGAGATGACAGACTACACATTGGCTCCTGACCAATCACAGCATCTTTCACAACCTGCATGATGTCATGGGAAAGGAGGCGCTAGGGACTGACTTCCAGGAGCAAGGATGTAACCGAATGATGGGGAGTGTACCCTATGATACTGTCTGCACTTGTATTTGGAAAAGACTTGATGGTGAAAGAAGAAATGCCTTTGACTTTTCTTTTGTTTCATAGTTCCACCTAGCAGCACCAACAACATCATTCCTCTTTCACTTCACCATGTTTACAGGCCTATTTACAGCCCTCCTACTGGTCAGTGATGCAGATTGTCATGCTTGGTATTTGGTATGTCTTTGGTAATAAAATTGGTCCTATTTTCAAATGTAAAAGTTTGGGTACCCCTGGTCAAAATTGTGTTTATTGTGAGTAGTTAAGTAAGTAGAATATGAACTGATTTCCAAAAGGCATGAAGTTAAAAATGACACATTTCTTCAGTATTTTAGGCAAGATTAGCTTTTAATTTCAATCTTTTACACTTTCAAAGTAACAGAAAAGGAAAAGGGCATGAAGTTTGGGCACCCTGCATGGTCAGTACTTAGTAGTGCCCTCCTTGGCAAGTATCACAGCTTCTAAATGTTTTTCGTATCCAGCTAAGAGTCTTTCGGTTCATGTTTTGGGAGTTTTCACCTTTTCTTCCTGCAAAAGGTTTCTGGCTCTGTGAGATTCTTGGGCCATCTTACATCCACTGCTCTTTGAGGTCTATCCACAGATTTTTAATGATGTTTAGGTCAGGGGACTGTGAGGACCATGACAAAACCTTTAGCTTGCTCCTCTTGAGGTAGTCCATTGTGGATTTAGAGGTGTGTTAAGGATAATTGTCCTGTTGTAGAAGCCATCCTCTCTTCATCTTCAGCTTTTTTACAGATGCTGTGATGTTTGTCTCCAGAATTTGCTGGAATTTAGTTGAATCCATTCTTCCCTCTACCTGTGAAATGTTCCCTGTGCCACTGGCTGTAACACAAGCCCAAAGCATGATTGTTCCACCCTTCGTGTTTAACAGTTGGACAGGTGTCTCTTTATGAAGTTCTGCACCCTTTTTTCTCCAAACTTAACTTTGCTCATTGCGTCCAGTAAGTTCTATTTTATCTTTATGACTCAATATGACTTCCAAAAAGCATCAGGCTTGTTTAGATGTTCCTTTGCAAACTTCTGATGCTGAATTTTGTGGTGAGGACACAGGACAGATTTTCTTCTGATGACTCTTCCATGAAGGTCATATTCACTCCAGAGTATGCTAAATCTTCCTGCAGGTCTTTTGAAGTCACATGGGGGTTTTCATTTGCCTTTATAACAATCCTACGAGCAGCTCTCTTGGAAAGTTTTCTTGGTCTTCCAGACCTCAAGTTGACCTCCACAGTTCCTGTTAACTGCCATTTCTTAATTACATTACAAACTGAGGAAAAAACAGCAACCTGAAAAGGCTTTGCTATCTTCTTTTAGTCTTCTCCTGCTTTGTGGGCATCAGTTATTTTAGTTTTCAGAGTGCCAAGCAGCTGTTCAGAAGAGCCCATGGCTGCTGATTGACTGGACAAGTTTTCAGGAGTGAAAATATAAAGCTTTGTAAAGCTCTGAAATTTGCATCATCTGGCCTTTCCTCAAGATGACCCAGGGTGCCCAGAATTTTGCATGCCACTGTATCAGTGACATATTTACAGGATGTTGGCTCCTTCTCCAGCAATGAGTTAGCTCAGTGGCCTGTCATGTCACACTAAATAGAGGTAAACGGGAAAAGAAAAAGTTA